CAATTGCTGGAACGGAACACAATGGTACTTACTCAATACGATTCTCGTATTGTTTTCAAAGCTTCGGTGTGAAGCCACGCGCGCACTACGCATCGGTGTCCATCGGAACAAAATAAATGCGTCCGTGATGCATAATCATTTCAGCGTCGACCATGGAGAGAAAAGAATAATTTTTCCGATGCTTCGGAAATCACTGACGCACACGTTATCTATGCTTCGTAGAGAGGTCGGACAAAAGAACAGATGGACGAGAATGTATAAAACCGAATGTCCAAACATTCGTTGGAAGCTAACGTTGAATTAATACTAATATTCCCAAACTTTTGTTTTTAAACATCATTTTTTTCTCCATAACATCACTCTATTTAATATTCCTTACCATACTTTATAAGAAATCATCTGAATTTTTAGTGTTTTTTTTTTTAGTAATTTTTAAGTAATTTTTGGTAAGTGGTGCCAACTGTGTATTCAAGTGTGCAACTTGAAAAATAATAAAATATAGGCACCTCTTAGGAGTCCTTGCAACAGGACAGTAGGTATATTCGGATTAAAGTAAGTCTCATCCAATCATTTCTATTACAATACTGAAACCATGAATATAATAAATCATTATAAGAGGAGACAGATGTATTTTACATTTCATTTGAAAGCTCATGAAAACTACTATCTATTGTTAGCTTAAAAAATGAAGAAAAGTAATTTCCAAATTTATCCAATAACTCAAGATGAGTTGGCAATTCAACAGCTACACCGAGTGTATCCGGTTTAGGTTCAATGTTAGTGAAAAATTAGTAACCATTTATCATTCGTATTTGTAGTAATTCTGTTTAGTTTATGTACATACAGGGAGGATGGTTCACCTAACATGACTCCCACAATACTCGTAAATCGTTGGATGTATGTAGAAATATTTTAAACAAAGTTGCATGGTATTAAGAGGTATATACATATAATGAAATAATATGTTTTTCACTGTATTACATTTTTATCAAGATGTAACGATCACCTTCAGTTTTTTAAATGGAATGCCCAATATCTCATCGAGAATTTCGATAAAGAGTCAAATACTGTATAAAAAAGTATTATATCATATTGGGTTTAAACGGAACAGTTTCTGAGATATCGGTAAATTTTTCTAAGATATTGGTGAAATTCGTCCGATTAAAATGAGACCAAGCATGACATAATTGGGACCATATTCCTTTATTAATAATAATAATTATAAAAGTTAATAATATTAATATTAATAAAGAAATATGGTCCAAATTATGTCATATTTGGTCTCGTTTTAAACGGAAGAATATCACCACCATGTTAAAAAAATTTACCGATAACTCAGAAACTGTTCCGTTTGGACCCTATTTTACATAATACCTTTTTATTTGACACTTTATCGAAATTCCCCATGAGATATTGGGCATTCCATTTAAAAACTGAAGGTGTCTGTTAAATCTTGATAAAAGTGTAACATAGTAAAAAACATATTGCAATATATGTATATCCCTATACTATTATCATAAAATACTAGATTATGCTGCATTGATAAAGTAAATATAGATACATGTGTACATATATCCATATTCGTATCGTTTGTGTCCATAAACGTCTGACGGATTGTGATTTCTTATTCATTCATTTCAGCGATACGAAATCATGTCATTTAACCACAATATTTCGAAATATCAGACTAACCGATGCTTACAAGCATGATAAAATTGTTGGTAAACATGAGCAAAGACGTACAGAAGATACGTTGAAACTTAGGCCCAGATATAACGTTGTAAAATTACAGTTTAGAGAATAAAAAAAAGGCATCAATTGGTGTAGAGAAAAACATATAGTTCTATTTAAAGACATGACGGTAACCTTGAAATCTTTGAAAATCCTTTAACACCGAAACATATGTACATATTCACTATGCGATGCACACACTAAACCATTTGAAAGGAAATTTTTTTCTACCTTCTACCGTTTTAAAGCTATAGGTGGTCTTGGCCTATTTGCGCGGAACACTTTGTATGTCTATACCCTGTGTATTATATCTTTAATAAATGAACAAAGATTAGAAAGGTCGATTGATTCTAGCAAGTAAACAAATTAACCAAGCTGGTAGCTATTACGTCTACATATAATTTTTTCATTTAATACTATTAAATATACATTACATTTACCGCAACAGTTAATAGTACGTTACTAAACCAAATACTAGCATAATTATTTATTTAACGCGTTTCTTATAGCAAAGCAAAACAATCCAGATGGAATGTAGACTCTCGTCCATACAAATTAAGGCAGGTTTCGAATGTGAAATAGACTTGAAGGGCATAAAAGCTCTTAAATAAATATTCTATAAAAACGATTAAAGCTTAGTACCTTATTATACTTATGCTAGTGTAATGTAATGGAAGTAATATAAAGTATGCAATTTTTATTCTGACTAATAAAAAAGACAATAAGTGTGCTCATATTTATTAATGGGAGAATACATACACTACAATATTTTAAACTTGGTGTGCATTCAAATAAAATCCCGTCTTTATTGTTACATTCTGGTAAACAGAAAACAAAAAATGGGAAATGTACAGAAAATAAAATTTTGTCCAATTTTGATTTTGATATATTAGTGTGCAAAATTGTAGATTGGAATACACATGCACGATCTAATCATGTATAATGTCTAAAAATCGCCTCAAAATCTTTTAAAGATAGGTTTTATTATTAATTTTGTTTAATCATATATCCCAGTCGTGAAAAAACCTTGTCAGAATACGAGCCAATATCGCCTATCAGAAATACTCGAGAGTCGCATTTTTTATTGGAACGGTATTAATTTGTGAGTTACGCTTACAAAAATATTACATATCTACGTGTATGTGCTATTATACCAAGTTTACAAAAAGATATTGTATAAATATAAGGGAGGAGAAATCTAGTAGAGCTGCGTGCGGCTGGCGAGCCGCAGTTTGGCCACCGAGGGTATATACGGTTGTCCTGGCCAATCAAGTGCCATATATCGATCAGTTCATAATTTATTTAACATTAAAGCAATCTGATTTGTCAATAAATTGATTGTACTGTATACAAACATTCAACAACGATAAGCTGAAAAGTGTGCCATTTATTAATAAAATGTATTCCTAATTACTTTAGTGCGGATTTTATGCATTTTTCGTAAATGTGAATATGCAAAACAGAATACGAGTACAGACAAAATTTTTCGTAATATGAGTATAAGTTTTTACATTACTTTGAACACAACGAAACCTTCACCAGAGGAAATAAGTCTTTGATATAATTTGTTTTCTGACACAATAATCCGAATTTGCATAAAAATCCGGAGCTTATCAATTACATCACATAAAACGGAGTCTCAATTTATGATATAAACAAAAAGTATAAAATGATCGAATACAGATAATGATTCAATTAGTTACTCGCGCTTCGAATTTTACGGATTTATGGAATATTCTACACAGGATATAATAAAAATTACAATGAAATATTACAGAATAATCTTCTTATACTTAACCCTTAAAAATTCCGAATAGAACAAATAATTTTGTATTTAACGTGAATGCTTGTATGGGAACTGCTATTTACAAAAATCAGAGTGCTAGAATTTCAGCAATGAAACGGTTTATTAAATCAAGAGTATACAGGGTGATTCACGAGAAACAGAACATCTAAATATCTGTGTGGGATTGAAGATAGAAGAAAATGTTAATCATGAAAGTAGTACAGTTCAAGCAAGCAAATATAATGATATAAACAGATCTTTTGATTGTTGTTCTCTTCAAGACTTTTTTAAAGGTCATCGGTGTGAGTGTTCAGACGTCATCCCCACCGTTGGAGGGAGTGGGGGGGGGGAGCTTTCGAACACTCATAGATGATTCACTGTATGATGCCACTTCAAACCACCGATGACAATTAAAAAAAACTTGAAGAGGACAATAACGAAGATCTGCTTGCAACATCAAATTTGCACCCTTGAACAGTATTACTTTCCTCTTTAACATTTTCTCCTATCTTCATTCCTAACAGAGATATTCAAATGTCCTTTTTCTCGTAAATCACCCTTTATAAAAAAATTGGATTACTCTTCACAAACAGTTGTACTCTTTTGTATTTTATTTTATCTATTTGTAAGAATCTAAACTCACGTACGATTTGCAATCTAGTGATTATTTTACAAATATAAGGATTAAATTCTGCAGAAGGAGAAAGAAAATAGTATAAGTCCAATTTTGAAAACAATAAGTTAAAGTTATTTTAGCGATATATGGATATCTTCTTTTTATATTTATAATGACGAAATCAATACAGTAGAATACTCTCATGAATTAGTCAAAAGCAGTTTGACTGTTAAATTGAATTGCATAAATGTTGTTGTTTTAAATAGCTATAAGTGCATTTGCGGTTAACAAAAACATTAGATTTACTTAGAGAATATTTACCAAAATAGTCACATATAATAAAATTCAACGTGTCCAGAATCTTGAAGACATAAAACAAGCTTATTAGCGTTTAACAATATTTTTAAATACGGAAAATATTAAACACTAAATATCTCGAAATAAAGAAAAGTGCACTTACACTACTTTACAAAAAAAACCCGGCTCAAATGCTTGGATGAAATTGAGAAGTATTTCGATTATTCAAAGCATTTAACATAATAATGTGTTTACTATACTCTGCACATAAGAACACTAGCGCGTTCCGCGGAACTTTATACGATTTGAATGTCAGTGCAGGTAGAGCAGATACATATATGTACATATATTTCTTGGTTCTGTTCTGGCGGCACGGGTGAACGTTCCGCGGTCGAATCACTTGATTTTTGGAAAATCCGTCAGAACGTCTCCGAGAGTACGGAAAAAGGAAGAAGAGATGATTGATACGCGGAGCGGCCGAACGGGAACGAGAAAGAGAGGGCGAAAGAGGTAGGGAGAGGGCGTTTAAATACGAGGAGAGACGCGCGTGCTCCTTCAGTCCGGCGCTAACAGTCCAAACCGATTCACATCCGGAACCCGGTAGAGAACGGAAATTAGTCCTGCTCGTTCCTGAAAACCGAACTCGATCGAAAAATCACAAAGAATACGAGAAAAGCAAAAGAAAGAAAAGATCTCGAGACGGAACATACGAACTACTTCCGAGAACCGCGGGACTCGTGCCGGCTTAAAAAGGAGATTAGAAAGTGGACAGTAGGCTTTTCAGAGGATCAGGACAGTGTATGTGGTAATGTGTCGGTGAAAAGTTTGACGGGAAAGGATCCAGAAGAAGCAGCAGGAGGAGAAAAATACTCGAGTAGGAAGCAGAATGACCAACAGCATGAAGCAAACAGTTATTAAGTGAGTTTTCATTTGTGTACATGAAAGTTTACTTCGACAACAGGAAACCTCGTGGAATGCGACGCGGTAGATACGGTCGCATATCGTACACGAATAATCATCCATAATCATTTATTATATAACTATGGAATTGCTAGATTTCTGTCAGAATTAGTAGTCAATGAAATATTTCAGTTGCGTTCATAACGATGTAATAATATTTCGTTTTTCATTGTATACTGTTGTTGACGCAATAAAGTTATGAAAAAAATAGAAAAGGTTCCTGCGATTATCAGTGTACAGGTGAAGATCGAACAAAAAGTATTGCAGTGTTATTAGATGTATGCAGAATATAGTGAATTGAAAGAATTCAACTTTTCCCAGAAAAGTAACAAAATGTAGGTAATTAGATGAATTATTTCGAGAAATAGATGGTCTAATAATTACTGAACAGTGGTAACGATTTTCGATGGAAACACAGTCATCACTTTTGCACACATACATTCGTATAATATTAACGCTAAAGGATCGTACGGCTAATGTCTTTCAATCGATCCATGCTATTTCTGCTGGATAAAACTGTCCCTGTGACTCTGTTTCACATTTTGTTTTTATTTCCTTTTAATTAAAGGTACAACTTTACGCTTCCTCGCTATATATTCATAAAGTTATATAAGCGTACTGAACACCAATTAGCGGTGAAACCTTGTAATTTGAAACTGAAACATAAAATCGTACCTCGTTATACCGGATAAAGTGTCTTATCGTTAACAGATCGGTCGTTATCAGTGCCAACGCATATCCAATATTATTATGCTGCGTCTATTTGCAAGTATTTGCGGAATAAACGCGTGTCTTCTAGCTGCGATAGTATCAAGTAACTCCGCAAGTAGTTACGTGCGTGAATATTCAGGATTACAAACAAATTAACCATTAACCCTCGTGCACGGTTCAATAAACCATTGCATTACTATTCCTTGAATTAAATTGGGCCTGAAATAAAATCGAATTAGGGAAATATATTTGCCTGTCGCTAGATTATACTTTTTGTAAGCTATTTGTGTCAGATTGATATACAAATTTCGATAATAAAATATATACTTACGCATCAAACATTGGCTTCGAGTCAAATTGTGTCGAACACTGCACGAGGGTTATACAAAAAGTAAAATAACATTTTTCTAAACGAATTTTGTATCTTCAGCCAATTACAATATCATTAATGCTATTGGCACTTCATTTTTTGCCAATGCCAGGTGTCTTATCACAACGGTGACTTACCATTTACGATTACATCGACTTATAAATGAGTAGGTACGTATTGATTACCAAGTGAATGTCCAAAAGTGTCAGATGCAGTATCACTTGTCGCAAACGGAACAAAACTACTTTTTGGTGCAAATCGCTCTAATCTCGTTATCTCCACTGAAGAATTCTTACCTTATTGTTAACGTCCCCTGCAAACGAAAAGAAAGTTAATAAACACCTGGAAAGAGAACAGATAATGATTGATAATAATGACCGTTCTTGAGAACAATAACAACGATAATGGCTCACGAAATCATCCACGTGGTATTTCCTTTCGATTTCCAGGATTTAGCAGTTAATGTCGTTGCAAACACGTCGACCAAACAACTGGACTTACTTCGATGCATTATACAGAGCGATTCGAAATTGAAGTGACGCGCTTTGATAGTGTAACTTACACTGTATTCTGAAAAAGAATTTCTTTAATATGTAAGTCTTAAAACCATCTGTTCTTGTAACTTGAATATTTCTAACTTATGGAGTATTGTTTCAGAGCAAGTTTTAAATACGGCGTCTACTTGGAACTATCCCTAGTCTTATATTTTTATATATTTTCTGTTACACTGCAACTGTTTCGTACATTTCTTTGCATTTTAAAGTAAACCATAAATTTTAAATAATTTTAGATACAACACTATACGTATAAAACTTCAATACATTTGAAATCATAGAGTTATCCCAATCTTTTAGTAATTTATTATATGAAGAAATTTGTTTGAAAAATAATTCAGCGAAATGAAACTTGTAAATTGTTTTATTCGGAACATGATAAAACTGGAAATAAATTGAATAAATTTCTGTTTGGTTTCTGTTAAATTTCTATATAAATTTAGATTTATGAAAGAAACAAGTTCTAATTCGAATTATGTAGCGGAAGTGTCTTCAAGGCAAATAGTTTTCGAAACAATGTTCACTGCAAGACATTTTGTTCGACTTTTAAGTATAAAATTACTCGAAAATTTTATGACTCCAGGTGGTTATGACACACTATATAGAATCGTTCTTCGTCTCGGAGAGAAACCTCGTGATTTCAACGCAAGTCGGCATTCTCGGTGATAAAACACCGACCAGGCGTTGATGTTACGCCGCACTCTTGTCGTTATTGTAACCGCAAGGCTCGTGAAAATCGTCGAAATTCATTGGTAAAATGGACGATAGGATTGGTTAATTTCACTTGAAGAATTTTAAGATTACAGGGATTGTTTAATCTACAAATCGATAACACCTTTGTGTTCCCTTTTTTCGACCAAGTACAAAATAACTGAAGCATAGAAAGAGTTCTCATGTTTGTTGCACTTAACAAAAATAGGCCTTCTTTGTAGCAGTTTATTAAATAAATTTTCCATAACACATTTCCATTTGTTAAAATGCATTTTATCGATACCAAAATAATTGAAAACGACACCGAAAACGTACCGATTTGTGCTGATACTCTTCAATTTCTTTCAAAAACTAAGGATCTAGGCGAAAACGTAACCGCAGTATGCTACAAAGCAGACCTTTCTGCTAAAGAAAATCCAGAAAAATACGCGGATGAATTAATAAAATAATGCAAATTGATATAAGCGTTTATTCTATGTGACCTCTTTCCTAGGTTTCTCTGTTTTAATAATAATTAAGGAGTGACTGCGAATGTTTATGCATTTAAGGCAGAGCAGCATAACTTTTGCTTCCGGAGTTCTTCTCTCACTGCTAGGGTACTCCCACTACGCGACTCAGGCTGCCTCGAGCGCTGCGTACGGAAGTCGCATGCTACAGGGAGAACAAGAGGCTATCGCTGGCAATGCGGTGGTACCATAGGCATATACATATAATAGACTGCACGATCTTATGGTATGGATGAAGCGAGTCCGAAGGACAGAAGTAGCGCTGGAGTAACTCCTCTCTTGCTCGCATATCGCAGAGGGAGGGGAGAAAGCGACTGGAGGGTGATAAGGAGAAGGAATGCTGCACGCATGTAACGTCTCCGTTACAGCCGTAGGAGATTCCCCCACCAACAACCCCATTAGAAAGAGAGAAAAGTTACTCCAGTTACTGTCCTCACTTTCTAGTACCGACTTCATCCCTACCATAAGACCGCGCAGTCTATTATACATGTATGTTTATGGGTGGGAGCTTCTCTTCTGCTCACCCCATAGCATACGATTTTCGTACGGAGCGCGTGAAGTAGCCTGAGCCGTGTAGTGGGAGTATCCTAGCAGTAGGAGATGACTCCAGGAGGAGAGGTTATGAAGCTCTGATTTACAGTATAAAATTGAAATTCTCTCTGTGTTTATAAAATTTACATGAATGTTCGCAAGTTAATTATGAAACATACTTGTATACGACGCATCAACAAGATTTTCCTCTTTTTCCTTCTAATTTTTTCCTGCTACAGAGATACATCCTTCTCCTGATTCCGTTTCAATTCGTCTCGTAGTACCTGCATATTGCTTGTTGGGCATAACAAACTATATTCTTTATGTTCTGATTAAAATATTGACAAAAGTACACGTTTCATGTTACCCAGTATAAACTGTATCATTAAGCCATTTTCCTCTTTCAATTTTATTAGTCACTTTGTAATTCCTATTTTTTGTTAGTAGTATGCAAATGAATCGGAGCGCTGAATGATGACTGAAGATCGCCAATCGCTTTAATGCACTTCCTTGACAACGAATCGAATTAACACGGTGTTACTAATGACCCCGCTTCGTAGCTAGGAAAAAGTGTTAGCAACATTGAATCTCTTGAGCAGTATCAACCTGCTTGATTTCTTTTCTTGACCTTTTTGTGTTATTGTTACGAACGTGTAATTAGTGATAAGTACAGTAGGCATTCAATTCCCGCGCTACCGTTATCTGCACGGAAGCCACGCCCCTTGCTCACACGTATTTCTCACACACGTACGCGTACCCTATGCTGTCGCACAGAACGCCCAGGCCGGAGCACATACGGTGTCGCGTTTAATCTCATTACAGTAAGCGAAATGTATATAATACTGTTTTAATAATGTTTTTATTGGTGCAATGAATATTGGTGGCAATTTCATTGCTTCTTGTCTCGCAGATCACACGTAATGGGTAAAAGATGCTAACCAAGCTAGACATTTGCCACTAAAATATGTCACGAATTATTAACATTTTCACATAATACCTTAATACTTTATTACGCAGCATGTTTAGAAGAATCGATTTATGTAAGAAAAGCAGTATTTTTATTCCATAGTATTTCAATATCATTAATAAAAGAACATAATTAACTTTGAGAACTCAAAAGATCCTTCATCTACGAAGAAACTGTTACTGCTAAGTAATAGCCCTCTCCATACTAAAAAACTTCTGTGAATACACTTTTCTGATATCTCTCAAAATAACGGAGATAATTAACATAACCATAAGCTGCGTATATCCAGCCCACCCTGCATAGAGCTGCGTCGCACAACTGAACGGCCGAGTGGTGGGGAAAGCGCTCGAGTAACTGGTCGCCGATTCCTGCACGGTTCTAGGAAATTTAGCCCTCTACACAGTGATGCCACAATTGTGGGATAACCGCGCGAGCGCGTACCCTCTCCATGCTTCCTGTGGGTATTTTACGCAAGCATATTCGACTCTGTCCGTGAGCTCTACTCCACTACGTCCTACTCGGCGACTCCCCAACTCAAGCGGTTTCTGCCTCTGTCCGTCCGTGTGCGCTCTGCTTCGGGTGTTCTCGGCAAAAGTCCTACGTCACAC